AGTCAATGTTCAAATTTTAAACTGCAGTCAAAGTTCAAATTCTAGACTGCAGTTAAGGTTCAAATTCTAGACTGCAGACAAAGTTCAAATTCTAGACTGCAGTCAAAGTTCAAGTTTTGAACTGCAGTCAAAGTTCAAATTCTAGACTGCAGTCAAAGTTCAAATTCTAGACTGCAGTCAAAGTTCAAGTTCTAGACTGCAGTCAAAGTTCAAATTCTAGACTGCAGTCAAAGTTCAAATTCTAGACTGCAGTTAAAGTTCAAATACTAGACTGCAGTCAAAGTTTAAATTCTAGACTGCAGTTAAAGTTCAAATACTAGACTGCAGTCAAAGTTCAAGTTTTGTACTGCAGTCAAAGTTCAAATTCTAGACTGCAGTCAAAGTTCAAGTTTTGGACTGCAGTCAAAGTTCAAATTCTAGACTGCGGTCAAAGTTCAAATTAAAGACTAGTCAAAGTTCAAATTCTAGACTGTAGTCAAAGTTCAAATTCTAGACTGCAGTCAAAGTTTAAATTCTAGACTGCAGACAAAGTTCAAATTCTAGACTGCAGTCAAAGTTCAAGTTTTGAACTGCAGTCAAAGTTCAAATTCTAGACTGCAGTCAAAGTTCAAATTCTAGACTGCAGTCAAAGTTCAAGTTCTAGACTGCAGTCAAAGTTCAAATTCTAGACTGCAGTCAAAATTCAAATTCTAGACTGCAGTTAAAGTTCAAATACTAGACTGCAGTCAAAGTTTAAATTCTAGACTGCAGTTAAAGTTCAAATACTAGACTGCAGTCAAAGTTCAAATTCTAGACTGCAGTTAAAGTTCAAATTCTAGACTGCAGTCAAAGTTCAAATTCTAGACTGCAGTCAAAGTTCAAGTTTTGGACTGCAGTGGAAGTTCAAATTCTAGACTGCAGTCAAAGTTCAAATTCTAGACCGCGGTCAAAGTTCAAATTAAAGACTAGTCAAAGTTCAAATTCTAGACTGCAGTCAAAGTTCAAATTCTAGACTGTAGTCAAAGTTCAAATTCTAGACTGAGGTCAAAGTTCAAATTCTAGACTGCAGTCAAAGTTCAAACTCTAAATTGCAGTCAAAGTTCAAATTCTAGACTGCAGTCGAAGTTCAAATTCTAGACTGTAGTCAAAGTTCAAATTCTAGACTGCAGTCAAAGTTCAAATTCTAGACTGCAGTTAAAGTTCAAATTCTAGACTGCAGTCAAAGTTCAAATTCTAGAGTGCAGTTAAAGTTCAAATACTAGACTGCAGTCAAAGTTCAAATTCTAGACTGCAGTTAAAGTTCAAATTCTAGACTGCAGTCAAAATTCAAATTCTAGACTGCAGTCAAAGTTCAAGATGTATGATGCATGTGTGAATTTTGAATGTGATTGGCTCAGACCTGTAGGGATGAACTGACACACATAACATAAGTCAACACTTCATTACATTTACAGAGAAAAAGTAAAAATATTACAGTACATTAAGATACTTGCCTATAAATCTGAATAATAAACAGAAACCTATTGTTAGAAAGACAAATCCACTGTTCCAGACATGCTCAGACGACCATAAAACAAGGCCCAGTTCAAATTCTAGACTGCAGTCAAAGTTCAAATTCTAGACTGGTCAAAGTTCAAATTAAAGACTAGTCAATGTTCAAATTCTAGACTGCAGTCAAAGTTCAAATTCTAGACTGTAGTCAAAGTTCACATTCTAAATTGCAGTCAAAATTCAAATTCTAGACTGCAGTCAAAGTTCAAATTCTAGACTGCAGTCAAAGTTCAAATTCTAGATTGCAGTCAAAGTTCAAATTCTAGACTGCAGTCAAAGTTCAAATTTAGGACTGCAGTCAATGTTCAAATGTTGGACTGCAGTCAAAGTTTAAATTCTAGACTGCAGTTAAACTTCAAATACTAGACTGCAGTTAAAGTTCAAATTCTAGACTGCAGTCAAAGTTCAAATTCTAGACTGCAGTCAAAGTTCAAGTTTTGTACTGCAGTCAAAGTTCAAATTCTAGACTGCAGTCAAAGTTCAAGTTTTGGACTGCAGTCAAAGTTCAAATTCTAGACTGCGGTCAAAGTTCAAATTAAAGACTAGTCAAAGTTCAAATTCTAGACTGTAGTCAAAGTTCAAATTCTAGACTGCAGTCAAAGTTCAAATTCTAGACTGCAGTCAAAGTTCAAAATCTAGACTGCAGTCAAAGTTCAAACTCTAAATTGCAGTCAAAATTCAAATTCTAGACTGCAGTCAAAGTTCAAATTCTAGACTGCAGTCAAAGTTCAAGTTCTAGACTGCAGTCAAAGTTCAAATTCTAGACTGCAGTCAAAGTTCAAATTCTAGACTGCAGTCAAAGTTCAAATTCTAGACTGCATTCAAAGTTCAAATTCTAGACTGTAGTCAAAGTTCAAATTCTAGACTGCAGTCAAATTCAAATTCTAGATTGCAGTCAAAGTTCAACCCATAGGCAAAGTTTGACAACATATACAAGTAGGTCCGATAAAGGTAATTCAATGTACAGGAAATGTGAAATATACTTACGAAATTATACCTGAGAATTCAAATAATTCAGCAAGTAAATATGAAAG